CATCCTGTCACTTGCCTGGCCAAAGGGTCAAAAATCACTAAGTCAAGCCCATTTACAACTGGGAGGCTCTTTTCTCTGTGGTGTTGAGTGAACTCACTCTTCTAATATTTATTTTCCAATGTTTTGGGAGGTTTCTGCATTATCTGGGTCTCCCTTAAAGAAAGCTCTCTTAAGTTTTTGGAGTTGAGTCAATATTTTGTGGGCAAGGCCTAGAGGTAGATGCAGGGTCAAAAATCACTAAGTCAAGCCCATTTACAACTGGGAGGCTCTTTTCTCTGTGGTGTTGAGTGAACTCACTCTTCTAATATTTATTTTCCAATGTTTTGGGAGGTTTCTGCATTATCTGGGTCTCCCTTAAAGAAAGCTCTCTTAAGTTTTTGGAGTTGAGTCAATATTTTGTGGGCAAGGCCTAGAGGTAGATGCAGTAGCTTTTGAGTTGGGAGAAGAGAGCCTCCTTCATGGTCTCTAAAGACAAGGTGTGACATCATGCTGAACAAAATTAAAGTGGAGAAATAAAATGAGAATCTGATTGTGTACAGAAACCTGTGTTCTTTCATGGATAGGAGGAAAAGCAAACAGCAAACAATGCTGTAGAGTATGAGAGGAAGATGTTGGCTGAGGTTATGGTTCCTTGCTCATAGATAAACACAAAGATCTCAGACCAGAAAGCAGCTGGTAAAATGTTCTGTTCTTTCCTTTCAGTTTTTCTAGGATCCTGCAGGAAACAGTGAAGCAACTGGCACCTCAGTGTGATGTGACTTTCATGCTTTCTGAAGATGGAAGTGGGAAGGGAGCTGCCCTCATTACTGCAGTAGCAAAAAGATTGCACAGTGTTGGACAGAAGTAGAAAAGAGAGGTAATTCCATCACTGTAGGGATCTGCTGAGTGGTGATTCAAGGTAGCTTTGCCAGACACCAGTACACACAGGTACCTGTTTCCAGGGAGCATCTGGTTTTGTCTAACCAGGAGTGTGGAGTTTTGTCCCTTGATAACTTGAGTCAGGTGTTTCTGCCCCCCAGCAGCATTATATCTTGGTGTGCCAAAGTCACCTCAGTTCCTGCAATGCATCCATAATGCACATCTGCAATGAGTTCATCGCCAGTTTCTTAGGTTTGTGTGTTTCAGTTTTGGCTTGGCCTGGCTCAAGGAATAGTGAGATCCTAGTGTTGCATCTATCTAGTGCACATATTTGTTCAGTGCTTCACAGGTTTTGCAACAAAACTGCAGGTAAAAGCAATTGATGGGCTCTGCTCAGTGATGCTGCCCCTGCTTCTGCTGGCTGCCAGTGAGCTGTAACACAGCACTTCCCTGGGCACAGGAGGCACGTGGAACAGATGGATGTACAGGGAAAAATGTGATTTCACAGAGTATCAGTTTGTGTCAAAATATGTTAGTGCATCTGAGTGCACATAAAGTTAAACCAGCACTGGGTGGATTCTGACTGTGACAGATCCTTTTGATAGTGGGGGAAGGAGAGACTAGAAGCAGCTACAAAGTCTGCTGTATGTCAAGGCTACACAGAGAGTGTCAGACAGGCCACCAAAGCAGCTGAGAAACAGAACCCACCTGAATTTCTGAAATTCTCCTAGTTGTTTTCCCTCCTTTATCTCCTTGCCTGTTCGTGAGAGAATTGTTTGCTCTTTGTGGAAAGGAGTTTGTCCTTGGTTTTGATTTTCTGCTGCTCTGCCTGGTGTAGTCTCTTTGTAAATAAATCTGTGGTGCTGTGAGCCTTTGCTTCTCTGTCTAATGCCTGTGGGAACACGCAGGCAAGTAGGAGCTCTCTGAAAATACATTGTTAGACCTAAACTTTTCTTTAAGCCTGGATCTCTCACAGGACTCCCAGCAGTGCAGTTGCTGTGGAGAAGGTTTGTGGGTAGCACCCGTGGCCAAATGCCTCTCCCCCGATTCACCCAGAGCAAACCAAAACATTGATACGGTACAGAGAAACAGCAAATCTGTGTCCTGCCCAGCCTCTGCTCTTCAGTGTTCCTGGATCTCCTTTGATCCTCTCTGTGTGGGTATTTGCTTTCCTTCAGCAGAAAGTGGGGGCCAAGAAATGTGCTTTAAGCCTAGTTAGGTGAGCAGTGGCTGTCGTGCAGGGGGATAAGCAGTGGGGGTTATGTAATGATCTGTGACAAGGCCATCATGGGTTTAAATTTAGCAACCACAAATCCAGAAGTGGAAGCAACAGACTTTTCCTGTTTTCTAGTTTTTTAAAACAACATGTCAACAGCTCAGTGTCAGTGTTGGAGTTACTGGGTGGGTGAAAAGCAGTCCTTGGAAATCAGTTTCACTTCCGAAGGAATTCTCAGCACTGTACTGAGCAGCTGAGAACAGACAAGTTGTGAACTCATGTTGCATTTAATGTTTTTCTCCTTTTGTCAAGAAACTTAGTATTTTACTTTTTCTTTATGCTTCAGAATCCACAGTGCTGCAGAAATTAAAGCTTCCTGTGTAGTGAGGGCAGTGATTTGGAAGGGAAGTTAGTTCCTGGGGATGAACAGGTTAAATCTGGTATAGAAGAAAAAAATTCAGGTATTGAGGCTATGTGGGACCTGTGATGTCTCTTCTGCATTGACAGATTCTCCCTCTGAAATTTTACACTCTCTGGGTTGGTTTGAGCCCTTCTGGGGGGTTGGATTATGCTAATCTGCAAAAGTGTGGATGAAGCGTGTCCCTGTGTATCTGGAAAGAGGCAACAGGACTTGCCCCCGATGGCCATGAGTGTGGTGCATCTTGTGTGCTTCTGTTCTAAAGCCTCCTGCACAATTGGAATGCAAATCCGTAACAAAACAAGGCAAACCCCTCACAGCTGGAGACAGAGCCTATATTGCTCTGACTCTTCAGTCCTTTTGGGAAATGAGATATGCACACAGTCAGTTTACACCTCAGCTACATTTGTTCCTTTTCTGCAGTAGATTAGGCCTGCACAATGATAACTTCTGCACGTGCAGTTTGTTTTTTCCAGTGGGTCTGTGAGTGTGGTGGAATCTGATCACATGAACCCGAAGTGCTCACAGAGTGCTCAGCTCTTGTCGATGTCCTCAAGGCCCAGGACCAACACGCAGCCTTTTGCTCTTCCTGCAGGCTGCTGCCTTGCCCTGGAGCCAGGCAGCTCCCAGGCTCCAGCGCACAGCTGCTGGGCAGAGACCGCTGGGCAGCCCCGAGGCAGGGCAGAACTGGCTGCTGTGGGGTTTCACCAGGGGTACAAGCTTCTCTTGTAGTTTCCCAGGGATCCCATGAACACACTAATACTTTGGCTGTCTCTAAACCAGAACATTCTCCATCTGGGTAATGATGCAGCGTCACGTTCCTGCGTATGTCGACACGTTGAAACTCAAAGACTGCTGCAAACTTGCAATCTCCCTCGTACAGGTGTCAAACAACTGAAGTAAAACCCTTCCCTGCTCACAGTACGTGGTGATTCAGTTTAAAGCCTTCTATTAAATACATATCGTATCATACACTGCAGATCATGTGCTGAAAAATGTGTGGTGCAATTCAGTACAGAACACTGTTAGTCTATCCAAAATAAAATGACATTCTTCTGGTCTCAGATGAGATTTTCTACAGCTTTTTGGAGAGCTTTGTGATGCTTCATTTCCACCTGTTGTGAGAGTTGCTTCTCCACTCAATACATTTAGTACTTCAATTTACTGATTTTGTTTTGATGCTTTTTGAAGACATAAACATCCTTTTTTCAGATCTGGGTCATACATTTTATTTGGAAAGTTGAAAGGTCTCTAAATCACAGGTGTGACCGAAGTATGCAGGTACTGAGGTTTGTTGCCCTTCCATCCATGGGGAAAAGATGTTCCTAAATATGTTGGTTTGCCTGCTAGAGGCACATTGTGGTGGCTACAGATTTGATCAGCGCTGGTGCTTGACTCATAATCCAGAGCAAATGCAGTAGCAGCTTGGTGGTGGCACATTCTCTTTGTCAGTCTGACAGACTCCAGAAGTACATATAGGATCATGTGCAAATCCTTCAGAAATCCTGATTAGCATGATCTTGCTTCTTGGGAAGTCAATGTTATGTAGGATTAGCAGATTAGTGTGAAGGAGTTTGAGTCTGAAATGTAGGTAATACCAAAATGAGAGTATTGTTGTGGTTTGTTTCTGTGCAGTCAGTGAAAGGAGTTGGTCACCACAGGAATAAGTGGGGAGGCAGGGAGAGAAGGAGACTTGGTCAATCCATCCTGTTCCAGGCAAGGTTACAGTTTCTCTAAAAAGGACCTATCTTGAACTGTCATCGAGGGCTTGTCCAGAGCATTGCACAGACCTGTTGAGTCAGTAGCCTGTCGAGTGATGTACACAGGTATATGTCACAGTAATAATACATGGGACCTGTTCCTGCACACAGTATGGGTGGCATGTTGGGGTGAGAGTGGGAAGGGAAACAAGCTAGATATCTTCTTTGTCCCAGTACTGCATCCACTCTGTGAAACTGATGTGTAAAGCAAGATGTAAACCCACCAAAAGACTGAGTGTCAATCTCTCACTGATACTTTCACCTTGCAGGGACACACCAAAGGTGCTGTGAACATGATGGGTCTTGCCTGTCTGAAAGGGGAATGCCAAAGTAATTTTGAGCTTGTTGTGTGCTCTTTTCATGCCTTCCAGAGGGCAACCTCTTCCCTACCCAGCCTTGTGCTCTGCCTGCACTCTGCCCACGGCCCTCAGGCAGCCCAGACGCCTCCAGGGACAGTGACAGCTGTGCTCTGTGCAGGGAGAACAGGCGTGGGAAGGAGCCTGGCAAACAGGGGTTCCTCCTGAAAACCCTTCCCACTGGCTCAAGGAATGGGCTGCAGGAATATGGACAAAGGGCTCCAGGTGGGAGGTTTCCTGCGCATACGTTGTAGAAGAACCAGGTGCTGGGGAATCTCAGCAAGCAGGAGCTTGCTGGAAGGAATAGCACAAGGCCCTTTCATCCTTGATCTTTTCTGACTGGTTATTAAAAAAAAAAAAAGCAAACCAGAAACAACCCAACCCCTTAAACCCCTCAGATTCTTGTTTTTAACTCAAAAAGCCTAAGTTAAAACTGGACAAAACCCAAACCAAAGTGATATTAAGAAAGTAAAGGAGGAGCTGAGAGGAGACTGACTGAGTCTGTTTCACTGCCACCTCATTCTTTTTCCTTCTGTTGCTGGGAAGGCTAAAGGCTGTTTGGAGAAGAGGGAGGAGATGTCTGAAGGGTATGGCACATCAGCATTCAAAGCTTCCCCCTAAGTTTGCTATTGCATATCAGAGCAACCTTAAAGTAAATCTTAATAGCAGGAAAAGGGATGACACCAAGACAAGGTGTGATACGTGGAAAGCGTTAATTATTCAAGGATGCTACCCGAGTTAACTGGTTCATTTTTTATTGTTCTGTAGTCAGGAGAGAAGAAGAGGGAGACAAGGGGTTGTACCTTGCTGGCTCCCATTTTCCTTGGCCTAGGCCGTGAGATGTAGCTCTCAGCCTCCGGCGTTTGGGAAATGCCAGGGCTCTGCTCTCAAACCCACCGGTGCTGTGGGCTCAGTTTATTCTTCTGAGGGCTGGTTTTGCTCTTCTCAGTTTGCTGCTTGCTCTTTGGACGTTCATCTTGCCAAAGGCTTCCGGCACATCCGGGAAGCTCCTGTTCCCACAGGATGGCATGACCGGTGGTGCTGGGCCAGCTGTTTTGCTGTGGGAATGTTGCCTGCCAGGTCACTGTAGAGGCCTCTCCTCATCAATACAGGCTGTGTCACCTCCTGAGAGCCAAAACAGTCTGTCCTGTGCTGCCCCAGAGAGCTGCAGAGCAGAGAGGTGCAGAGGGGATGAGACTCGTGGGGTTAAGTTCTGCACGGCATTACCCTCGGTCGGGGCAAAGACACCTCCTGGGCTGAGCTGAGCAGCAGCCACCTCTGGCTGTGGCTGCACAGACACAGAAAGA